GTGAACACTAAACACTAAACACGCCTGAACACTTAAAAATGATATACTTGTGTTCGTGCAATACACGGTTAACCGTCGATACATAAGATGCGAATGTAAGATGTCAGCCTTCTTTTACATTGCACGTGCTTTTTTACTACGAGCCTGGGGAAAGAAGTAGCGACCCATGCTTCACGTGTCTATGGGGGGGCCCACTACCATGATAGTACTGAATAGCCTACGATGCTATACGCGAGCGCTATGTAACCGCGGTCCGTGTGCCTGACTTTAATGCGACCAGACAGGTGCAACTTCGTTCAGATACCTGTTTGGCCGGGACGTCGAGAACAAGGTATGAGAACTGTAAGTGAGCCGCTAACACCCAGTACAGGAGTGATGTTAAATATCGCCTATACAGTGGTCCCGGCCCTGATACCTTGACAAACCGGTAGCTGTATGTGTATATAAGTTCACTAGTTCAATTACGTTAGTTACGTTAGTTATATATATATATATATATATATATATATATATAATATATGATATATATATATATATATAATCTCTAATGTGTAGTGTGCCGTACGTGCGTGCGTGACCACCCCTCATCGCTGCGTGCGTGCGTGCGTGCGTGTGTGTGCGCGCCTGCGCCGTGCCGTGTGTGTGTTTGTGCGCGCGCGCGCGCGTGATGTGTGTGAACTGTGTGCCCGTGTGTGGGCCCTGTGGTGATGTATGGACCCTGTGTGTGTGAATGTGTGTGTGTGTGTGTGTGTTGTGTGTGTATGGATGTGGTGTGGTGTGTTGTGTGTGTGTGTGTGTGTGTGTGTATGTGTGTGGTGTAGTAGTGTGTGTGAGTGTGTGTGTGCGGACAACTTGTGCCGACTGATCGTGTGTGGTGTGTGGTCGATGTGTGTGGCAGTGCGTGGTGTGTTTGTGTCTTGTGTATGTGTCTGTGCGTCCTGTCGTGCGCTGGTGTGTGTGAGTGCTGTGTCGCGCCGATGTGTGTTGTGTGTGTGCTTGGTGTGTGTGTTGTGCCGTGTGCCTATTCTATATATATGCATTAAAAAAATACCATAAGTAATTGAACTAGTGAACCAGAGTAAAAATCTTGGTGACAGTATATATATATATATATATATATATGTATACCGTCACCAAGATATATACACTACCCCCAGGATTCTTCTGCCACAAACTCAACCAGAGCCTTATGGATGGTCGACTGCCCATCGCTCGTCAGACACTAGGGGCCACTGCGGATAGACCCAAGTTGCCGATTGTCTCAGAAGCAGCAGACCAGAGAGGTCTTGGACAATCTCATAGGGGAATTTGTTTCGCCATCGGAAAGAGCAACCAAAGGCTATTCAATCCCCGCGGAGAGCACTCAGTGCAAGCCTCCTAACTAGACATCAGCTGTGCCTACTTATTTGGCAAAAGGTAAGTAGTTACATAACCAATTGCCTCATAAATCGGCAACCTTCTACATAATATTTATCATTTGCATGCCATAAAAACGATGCCTTGTGTTATAGCAAGAACCCGATATTATTGCTTTCTAAATTCATAGGCAGGCCACTAAGCAAGTTTATAAACTACGTGAAAGGAACAACAAAATCTTAGCTTAGGCTATTTGGTAATTTGTCAAATAATAATGAAGTAGTTTTAAATACGTTGTTTTATGCAGAAAATGTATACATATATGCGTTATATATAAATATTTATAAATAAATAAATAATATTATATTATTATTTTATTTTATTATTTATTTATTTATTTATATGCAGTCTCTAGTATGCCAAACTTCTAACTGAATCAACTTGAAATTGTGCTTTGAACTCACTTTACCGGTTGTTAATTTGAATCATCTCATCTCTGTGGCCGCAGATAAAAATTGCGAGATCACGTTGCTTCTGGAGATGGGAAGATGGTGCAGCGACGAATCATAGAATCAATGAAGGCGCAGAGGCGACTTTCCATTGCTGTGCTTCCGACCGGGTTCGACTAGCCGGGCGCTCAGAAGGCCGTGTTAGGTCATGAAACTAATCATAATGAAAGGTGGGCGGAGAATGATTGCCAGCATTTCGGTTTAAAAAACTATCAACTGAATATCGGCTACCCGTCATCCTCTTTCTAATCCCTGCCCCTCCACATAAGTGGCGTTTTCTGTTTGATTTATCATTTAGCACGGCGCTATGAATTGCACATGATGGCTTTATGTGGTCCGCTGACAGCCCGATGAGGCATAATTCATTATCATGTGCTTTACCTCGATCAAGCAAGATGCTTTACAAAATTGACACGTTTCAAGCTAATTCACAGGAACATCAAGACTAAATTGGACCAAAAAAATCCTAAAGATTTTGGTTGACTACTACTGCAACAGGCAGCTGTGGATGGGAAACAAAAGGTAGGATGATCTTTAATATGCGTTTTGTATACGTAATATATATAAGCATTATTTCAATGTTCAAGCTAGCATCTAAGAATATCTGATGAAATGTATTGCCCCTATAGATGACGTTCATGAATCTGTATCAATCATGGTCTTGACCGCTCATGGCCGATCAAAGGACACAATCACTACTGCTCTCTGTTGCGGCTGCTTCTTTACTCTGTCAACTATACTGACTGGCCCAGCTAAGTTCCAGCATGAGATTTACAAAGGTAATCAGTGTTAAAAGTTAGCCATGCATACATACTAGATTTTAAACGCGTAGAGTATGCCTATGCATCCACGTCTAAAATTTAGTATCGTATGAATTTTCTTACAATTGCTTCAAAAATTACTAGCTTGGCGGACCTTACAGAAAGGTGCAATCGTGACAGTGTGACGTTACACATTGCTATGCGCTCAGAACAATATTCAATGCACCCGCATTGTCCGTAGTATTGATAATTTGTCAAGTTGATTCTGAGCTCCCCCGAGTCCGAACGAATCCTGTTACACAACCTCAAAAACATCCCCGAAACGCAGCGTGAGTTATGAGACTAACTACAGACCTTCTTACAAGTTATGGTAACAACGCAACTCGGTAACTAGGAGATGGTACATTAAGTCGAAATTAAGCAATATAGGTAGCTTGTTTCGAGAGTGACAATCTTGACCTCCACAAATAATGAAATCTGTATGAAATGCTTGTAAAAAATCGCCATTTCCTGACGCCAAACCGCCTTCTTCTTGATTTTAAACCTGCCGTGTTCAAAGTAAACCGCCTTGCCTTATGAAGAGGTATGAAGGCTAAAGCCTTGTTTTCATAAAATAAGAAGAATCATATTCATTAACCATAAAACCGTGGCCATTCGTGACGCGATAATGACTCCGGTTTTTTAAAATGAAACTTTTTGTGTAATGCTGGACGAACATTCAACTTTCCTAGGCCAAAACCGCTCATTTTCCTAGCCGACAATAAGAACATTCCATTCTCAAAATAGGAGAATAAAAGTTCACGGTAATTAAAACAACCAAGATGAACGAGATAATTAAAATATCTGCCTGCAGGTACTAGCCCCAAGAAACTGTCATTGCAGTCGAAAGACCATGTGTATTGACGGTAGTCTCGTAATTATAGGTCGGGCTACTGCGGCACTGAAGCTCGTATAGCGTAAGCAGTGTCCATCAGCATAAGTATATATATATATATATATATATATATTATATATATATATATATCATATATATATAGTAAGGGCAGTGCTCCAGGTGACGTGTTTACTAAAGTGTTGCGGCGGCATACGCGCTACCCATCGTAACAGCGGAGCGCAGTCGCCTGCCTCGCGCTGCAGGCGTTCATATCAAGGAGGTGCTGGGCACGACCGTCATCTGCTCCGTCCTCGATGCACATGCCAAAAAATGGCGCCACACAAACTTCGCGGCGTACGACATTCCACAGCCCAACGCCACGGTCAGTGCAACATCTGGGCGTCCACCATGAGAACATATTTGTGGAATGCGGACTCGCATAGGTGCTCACCGATCGTGCTGATTTTCGCGAGAGTCGCTTTACAAAGTCTGATAGCTCTTACCTTTCCGTGTCTCTATCGGTGCGTATGTAAAGATAGCGCTGCTCTGATTTGTTATGCTGATTATGGAAACTACATTAATTTTAGTCCGTGTTATAAACCAAATTATAATTTATTCGGGTTATTATATTAGTGCGATCTCGTAACAATCATTTACAGAACATATGATTATGTACAAACGGATACAAAAACACAGTCGGACGTTACTTCGATCATCTCACGTTCAATATTTTCTTAACAGTGTCACGTCCTCTGTCTGAGCGACCAGTTTGCCCAGATTGA